TATCTTGACCCCCGGTGAACTGTGACCCTCTGACAGGGTGGGAAAGGTCACAGTCGGGGTCGGCCCGCTGAACATGTCTGGCCTGAGAGCCACCTCTGAAAACGCAGATAGAAAACAGTTAAGTTGAAGTTCAGGGAGCGAGTTTAAAAGTTGGAGCTTATATAAAGTTTCCGTATCGATCGCACCTCCTCCCGTGTTGTACTGCTGCAGCTTGTCGCTGTACACGCTCTCCTTCAGCTGCCTCCTCCTGCAGAAAGACAGACGGAGATTTAGGGGAGACAGAAACGTTACACCAAAGTTAGAATTGCTAATTGGCTGTCTTCTCTTCAGCTGAGTTGAGGAAAAATAAATATTCTTCCTCAGTGTCAAAAAAAAACTCTGCGTGAGGGGAGGAAAAAAGTCTTTCAGGATCTCATTAGTCCTGGATGACTTGTTTCTGTTCTGTGTCGTCAGCTTTTGTTCCCGCTTTCATCTCGGAACGAAAGCAAAAGAAAATCCACTCAGATACACTTTAACTGATTGTCAAAACCGACACTTGATACCTCATACAGGAGAGACGGAAAGCCTGTCTCCTGCTATTTTTGGGTGGTCAGAGGGTCCCAGAAACGGTCTCTGGAGTCCTGATCTACTTTAAAAACCATTGTAGAGCTGAAAGAGATACTTTTTTGTACAAGAGCGGTATCATTCACAAGCTCGCAGAAATTGAGTTTTTGGAGGTCAGAGAACCCAGTCTTTAAATCTGCCATTTTCTGAAATCCTGCCTCACATGGAGCAGAAGAAATCTGAGATATGTCTTTCAACCTTGTGATCCCTGAACCTGAAGTATTGCATTTAATGAAGAATATGTTTGTTATGATGGAAAATAACCCTGTGTGTGCATTTAATAAACTGTCATGTCCAATTATATGTTTGCCAATCTATTCAGGGGTCACATCTGGTTGTGATGAAGTAGATCTAGTTTAGACCGGACAGGAGGTTTATCCTGGTTCAGAATAATTCACGCATAAAGCCCTGTCTTTTATTAGAAATATTGATCTAATATCTTTATCTGATTTTATTGTGATTAAAAAATAATCCTGTGTGTATGTAAACACATATAATCCCAGGTTATGAAAAGGACATATCATAACACCCTGTTTGAGATCAGAGCGGTCCGCAGTTTCAGCTATGTCACAGGGTTTTAGTCACAGTAAAACACATGAACGCGGCGTGTTTCTGATGAGGCAACATTTGACTATTTCATCAAGATTAGATGTCCTAATGAGCTGAGACAAAAAGACAATTACGCTAATCAGCGGGTGGTAAAGGTTAATGTAAGGGATGGCCGAGCAGTGGTTAGAGCTGGGTTGGACTCCATTAAGAAACTATATATTATTTAACAATTGAGGATGTCTGTCAACATGGATGAAAGGGAGATTATTGTTTAAAATAAAAAAACGTTTTACACTCAAAGTTCAAAGAAAACCACAGGTAAACATGCATTATTATAATGTACATTAAAAGCATGATCCCATTAAAATCATTTGCGTGAATGAATTACATGTTAAGTCAATGCAAAGACACGATTAGACGCTCCTACTACTCTGGTGGCACGAATGACGCATTGGGCTTGAGCTAAAAATGTCTCAACTTGAGCGGATATTCGTGTCCTGAATATCAATCACCTGTCATTCGTTGCTGATAACCAATCAGCAAGAAGGTTGCCTTGGTGACGTATGAAAATGGACGGATGTTCACTGGTATCTAAAATGGAGGACAAACTGATCGTGTCGTTGTGTGGGTGCCCCAAATCATATGATACCTTTTCTTTCAATTACCAAAACCGGAGTAAAAAAAAGCTCACCTCCAGGTGAGTGAGGAGGATGGATTACCTTGTAACTTTAAAAAACCTTTATCTATCAATTGATCTCGCCGGTTGAATTGGCAGGGATTACCGTTGAAATTACCGTTACTGTTCATTCATGCATCTAGATCCACGCAAATTAAGCAAGTAGATGATTTTACTCCATGAGGCCTATACTGCAAAGTCAGAATAATCCAAGAGTGAAAGCACAAATTAAGACACATTTGATCCTTTCCCATCATTATTGTGAGATCTGTCTGACTAAACTAAGTCCTATCTCTGTCCTAAAACAGATTTTAACCAGAATGACAGAACTCTTCAGTATCAGGATCAAACTGAGTGGTAACAGAAAATCAGTATGAATATGAAAATATAGTTCAGGTCCAATTTACAAAATGAAACAACTTAAAGGCTCCAATTTGAAATAGTTTTAGTCTCAATTTAAGATCTTGACAGCAAAGTCGATATCTTTCTTCAATAATTTCAGAAGTGTCTTATTAGTCTCGTTGCTTTGCTTCTTCTCCTGAGTTTCTACAAACTGTTTTTAGGTGTTGAGGGGAACTGTCAGCTAGTCGACTAAGGTCGCTTTCACACCAGAGCTGTTTGGTCCGCTTTAAACGGACCACAGTTCATTTCCTCGGATAGTCTGCTTCGTTTGGGCAGGTGTGAAAGCTCATCCGAACTCTGGTGCGGACCAAACCATCGAAATCTGGTCCGCCTGAAAACGTGGGTCTCAGTTCGCTTTAAAGTGAACCCTGGTTCGGTTCGTATGCAGTGTGAAAGCTCAGCGGACCAAACACAGGACCAAATGTACGTAATGACGCTAGACGCAGTGCATCTTGGGTAGAGGAAGCACGGCGGACCACTGTATTAGCAGTTGCTAGCTAGCTTAGCTCAATTGTCTGAACAACAATAACCCATAAATTCACAATTTGGCATATTTAAACAAAATCAAATCACAACTACCAACAGTCACAGTCCTTAAACTCTGAGCTCATATGTCGTCACATGTTAGATCGTCAAAGTTGCACAACAGTTGTGCTCACTAACGTTGTAGCATTCCATGAAATAATGTGACGAAGCACGATACAAGACGGCTAGTCCACCCCTGTTTGTAATCCATAGGGTTATATACCCCTCCTAATTTGTCCAATTGACGAGCGCCCCTTTCAACCACGTGATGCTGCTTGGAAAGTTCAGTGCGCTTTAGAAATCACAGTGTGAAAGGAGAACCGACACAAGTGATAAATGCAACAATGCTGCGACTTTCAGCTCCACAATCGAACCGAGTCCGCTTGATCAGGTGTGAAAGCGACCTAATACTTTGAAAAACTACCACAAATCAGGTAATTGTGAACCCCCCAGTATGTGTGGGTTACCTGGTACAGATGATGGCGATGGCAACCAATGACACGATACACACTCCACCGACTAAAGAGCCCGCAATCAGGGAGAGCTGCTGTCCCAGCTCTGACTTATACTCATCTGCAGAAACACCACAGAGATGAAATCAGACGGACATGTTGGAAAAAGAGGCATTATTTTCATATTTTTGAGGGTTTTTTAAAAGGCAGGAGGAAAACACACCTGACAGTTTCTCTCCGCCTCTTTCACAACAGACATAAAACATGATTTACAAGTCTCATTTTACACAACAGCAAGCACACACAGACTCACACACACACACAGCAGACACTAAGAGCTGAATTTAATTACTTCACAGCCAGAATTTTAAGTCCTTCTCAACCTCTCAAATTCCCCTGCACTCTCTTCCCTCTCCATCATAACAGCTCCACCTCCACACACACCTCCACACACTCCAGCCAGCCGCCCACCCACTTACCGTCGGTGAGTGTTTGGAAGAGCATATCCTTGCTGTAGGCGCCAAAGCCCGCCACTGTGCGGGCCCTCACCTGGACCACGTAGCCTGTCCCTGGTTTCAGACCCTCCAGAACAACGCTGGGTGTTTCGCTCTGGACCACTGAGCTGTTCAGCACCGAGGACTGTGACTGGAAGAGAGCAAAGAGGAAGGAAGAGAGAGAGAGAGAGAGGGAGAGACGGATGAATATGTTACACAGAGATCCCAGGCAGGCGACAATACTTCTTCAGTCACAGTCTGAGGGACAGAAACTGAATTTAGAGCTCAGGTCTGGCCTTCAGCTGAGGCAGGATTGATTGTCGCGAAGATTCAGACCACCTCAGACGGTGAGACACACAAAGAGGACTTGGGTTCAAACTCATCTGGAGCTTCTGTTTCTACTATTCCAGCAATAAAACAACATTTACACTAAACTTATCCATTATTACTGCTGTTTTTACCACATTTATTTTCAGTCTATTTGTCTTTTTTTTCTCTCTCTCTATTTGTTCTCCTCTTTGAGGGTCAATTTATGAAGTATCTTCAGAGCTACCCTGGCGGCACATTGTCTAGTCTTGGGAATAGATGTGGTTTAACCTGTCTGTCTCCCCCAAATACAAGGCAGGAAAAGGAACGCAATTTCTGGGGCAGAACATTGCAAAATAACACTTTCAAAACAAGTTATTTTTTTCAGAAATATTGCCCCACTTACTGAGAATAATCCGTACAGACCTTTCTGTGAACCCATTTTACTGGGACGTCTTTCCACTGAAGGAGAAGCGCTATAAAGCTGTTTATAGGAATGAGAGATAACTTTCAGTGTTTTTTAAATTATAATCTTTAAGCTCTTTACTTCCCCTCTATGTATTCTCATTTTACTGAGATACAGCTAGACACTAGGTAAAACAAACCTGTTCAGATCAGAGGTGTCAAACTCATACAGTCTAAATAGATATCAAGTGGGCCAGGCCAGTACAATCATAGCATAATTACCAATAAATAACATTTAAATCCATGTTTTCCCCTTTGTTTTCATGAGTTATTGATGTGCGTTACTGAGAAAACTTGTTCACAAAGATAAGTTGTCCCAAACATACACAGAATTGTTGCAGCCAGGGCCGTTCATTTAGGGTAGCCTGACGAGATATACTGAGAAAATGTGTCCAAACCCACTGAGACGAATTCGTCCTTCGCATCAGCATCACATCCCAAATCACTTTTTTCTAGCTGGATGTCATTAGACGCTTTGACTGTGAAGGGTGAGAGAAAAACAACAGATTCTGTCTCAAGTTCACCAATGTACGGAGGCCCTGAGGTGCAGAACTCAACGGCAAAACAGAAAACAGAAAAAACAAAACAGAAAACACAACAACAAAAAGAGAAAACACAATGGTTAATGTCATTGTGTTCTCTGATTTGCCATTGTGTTTTGCACTTCAGGGCCACCGTACCACTGACCTGAAACCGTTTTTTTAAATTCACACACGAACCCGTAACCTTTTCTTTAAACGGTTTCATGTCAGCATTAATACCTGTCGTACGTACCTGCCTCAGACAGGGTCCCAGAGTTGTGCCGCTTCTACTACTCTGGCTAAAACAGTACGCCCCTAGTGGATAATTATGGAATAGCATTTTATTGAAGAATTCCTAGTTTGTGTCTTTTATGCATTTTATTCACTTTGAAAAATTCATCCTGTGGGCCGGATCGAACCCCCAGTTTTGATCTGACACCTCTGGTTTGAACCTTATTGCACCTCATGGCATTATAGCTAAAAATATATCTAAAGCTTCTGTCACCTTGTTGGCAGGATGGTTCATTTAGTTAAAATGGAAATCCACCACTTATCTTCAAGTTCACTCCATTCAGACTGTGTAGAGTTAGAGCGAATCATACAGGATCTCTCAAGATGCAGAGGGAAGAAATTAGCTGTACTTATCAGAACAGACTTGGTGGAAATGGAATATATTATTCACAAACAAGTTTAAATTGGTGTACAATTACTTGAATAGAGTGTGGAGAGGACAAACTAGTAACAAATGCATTTTTTTATTGCATAAGTGGCTGAACAAAATTCACAGATTATAACAGAAAAGAAGAAGAGTGGCTGCTGTTTTGCCTGAAAGAATTTGTATCAATAAAGTTTTGATTGTAAAAACTTTCCCTGAAAGGTCAATGATTGCTGCAACCATGTAAAAGGGCGAGCAAGGGAGCATTTCAATCTATATAAAAATATTCCTTTTTCTACACACTGAACCTTTAAAGCCAGTAATGATAGAAAAAGGATAACAAGACACTTTTGTGTGAAACATACAAAAGGATGGAAATAAGTGACCACATTTCAGTGTGTCGGACCAAACTAGAAGCCCCACTTTTTAACACCTTTCTCCCTCATTAGGTCTTAACCATGCATTGAAGATAGGGTATCCCATTGAGTAAATTCACTCTGTGGTGAGCTGTAGGACAAAAGTAGCAGGAGAGGATGTTACAGAGAGAATTGTGATTTTAATTTTTGGAAATCTTACCACAAATGTGGATAAATAGATTTAATCAATTTATTGCACAGCCTGCTCAACAATTAACCAGAGAGAGCTACTCATCTGCATAACAACTGCACATTGCTGAACACAGTAAAAGACTTCATATAAGAACAAAGTTTGAAACTTCTTCCCCTCTGAGCTCCGGAAAAACAGACTGCGTCCTGTATCCCAGTGCAACTTTTATAATGGATTTCAAGGCTTCACCATAATAAATCTAAATCATTATCAATGTAGGAAGTCTGATTTTACATTTACAGACATTAAATCAGTTCTTTTTTAACCATCCCCTTATATCTTCAGTCCGTCTCTCTCTCATATTTTGCTCTTTCTCTGACTTCTCCTTCACTCTATCTTATCTATATCTATAAAAATAACCAACTGTCAGTGCAGTTTATTGGCTATTTCCTCCTGACACAGGTCTACTGGGAGTACTTCCGGCTTTCTTTCTTTCTGCTCAGTCCTCCTCCTGAGGTGAATTAGCCATCAGACGTATCGGGTCTATCTCAAAAACCCGAGGCTACAACCTTTTACCTCCATCTTTCTACGCCTTCCTCTCACACATTTCTTCCAGATTAAAAGGTTTTACTGCTAGAAAAATCAAAAAAGGTCCAGAGGGAAGGATTGATATGGTGTAGAGATGGCATGAAAGGGTTGGGGGTGGGTATCATGCTGTGAGGATGAAGGGGGGTGGGGATGATGGTGATGAGGAGGAGAGAGTTCAGGAAGGGGAAGGAGTGGGAGGAAATGGAGGGTCAGGAAGAGGACATGGAAATGAAAAATGAAGGGTTAAAAGTGATGAAGTTTTTATTACATACATTAATCTTTATCTAAAATATCCATCTCTTTTGAATCTCTTGAATCTTTAAGCTCTACTTATTGGCACCATTATGGAAAATCTGTGCCATTCATTCATTCACATTAATCCTGTGTATCTAGTTATCTGAACACTGTTGTTGTTGAATACAGAATAAGAATAGGAACAGCATAGGGTACTCATAAGTAAACTGTGGTATCTGAATTCAGAAGAAAGTCAAAGATCATTTAAAGCTCCTGTGAGGAGTAAATCATGATCCTGAAAAAAGAAAGACTGATGCCAGGAAAAACTCGATTATCCAGCCTCAGTAGAAGTCCCAGCATGTTTCACTCCTGCCTGTTGACACTGTGGCAAAGACGTTAGCATCCATTAGCGCTCTAAATCCATCAAACATCATGGAGGATATTGTAATATTAGAATCCGGAAACAGTGGCATGGCTGGTGAGCGCACTTCTAAGTTGCCAATCCGTACAAAAGAACTTTAAGGGATATTTTGGCGTGAAATTAATTTAGGGTCAAACACACAGTAACACCAAGTTAGACACCTCGTTGAGAGACGAATGTTGGTGACAGCTTGCTTCTCTATACCAACTCAGCTAAGACAGAAGAACTACCGCGTCTGCAGTGCAAAATGATTAATATGGGGATTATTACTTCAAGAAAATGATAAAGAAATGATCATAAATGTTCTTCCTTGAGCTGCGTCACCCCACTTTAGTCCGCAATGGATTGGCCTGAGGTCCCGCTACAAACAAGCGGCTGCTGGAAGAGAGTAGGTGAGCTGTGTTTAGTCTCTTTGCTAAAGAAATAAGGCAAAGCTAAAAAGATGTTTGGTGGCTAGTACTATGGATGGGACCCTATATGTACTGTTGATGAAGTTAGGTGCTGTTCTGAGCATTATTTGTGGCTATAAAGTGGCATTTTGGTTTGGTTTGGTTTGTTTATGGCTCTTCAGACCGCTGTGTATTGCTATCTTGTGGTCGTTACTAAAATTGGTATAACTAGAGAAGCAAGTGGTCGGCAACATTCATCTCTCCAGGGGGTGTTTAACTCGGTGTTACGGTGTGTTTGACCCTAAATTAATTTTACGCTGGAATATCCCTTTAGACCACGAGATGAATGTTGCCGGTGCAAAAGAGCCAAAAACTGCAATTCCCCAAATATCCACTGGAGGCTGGCCCTTAAAGCACTCGAAGCCCCATACACACCCATACAAAAAGCTTTGGAGCAAAAACAAACATGCTTGATTATGACCCAAATAGCAAATTTCCTGTTCCTGTTAGCTATTCGTCAGGAGCCATCTCTAATAGGTCGACCGAAATCCAGGATGAGTCGACATAACTGATATGGCGACTGCCGCTGACTTGCTTCAACTCTTCTGTCTCAGTCGTCCATGTGCTTTACAGACACATGCAAGACTAAGTCCATTTCACGTTGTCTGTTAATCTTTAGTATGATTTGAACTCTTTGCATGAATCCTGTTAATACCAGATTTAAACAAGGACTCAGTTTCAGCCATGATTGTTCTTCTCTCTGCATTTGAGACAGAGCTTATTAAAGACAGAGGAGAGATACATGTGAAAACAACTAGGACATGATCAACTGGAGAGCTGGCTGTATATAAGCTGGGAATTAAACAGAGTTATATTCGGAAGTGTCCACAGAAATGGGGGTATTGTGTCAGGGTGGGGTTTTATATCTGAAGGTGTGTGTAGGGGGGGAGGTGTTGCTAAGGGGGGCCTCTGTGCCTGCCTTAGAGAAAAGGTCAGGGGGGCAGCCCACCGGGGAAGGTCTGGCAGCCAAAGATAAGTAATGGGTAAAAATCCTGCCTCCCTGTGCCATATCAAATTTACTACGTTAAAACCTCATTATCTATAGAGCGGCTATGAGGGAGGAGGGGGTTAGGAAGGGATCCAGGAGAAGATGGAGGTACAGTACAGCTGTCGGCTTAGAAAAACCTGTCCTCTCTTTCTCCAGGCTTATCAAACTTCCCCCTGAGGATGTCTCCACTTGCAGCTAGGAGCTAAAATTAGTCACTTAATGTGGTTGTCTTGTCTACAGTGTTTCTTCCTTATTGAGATGTGTATCTGGTGTGAAGAGAGAGAAGAATACAGACTGAAAAAAAGGAGATTGTCAGCGTCCGAATCTGGCTCTTAATGGGCATCTGTGTTAAATAATAGTGAGGCAAATATGGCCGACTTAAAGTGAAGCCTCTGCTCAGATTTTGACAAAGTGAGGGTGTTATCTGTGACTGTCAGACTGCAGCTACAGTGTCAGAAAGTGCACTTCTTCTCACTTCTGCTCTAAACTCGTCGTAATTGCTCTTCCAGAAGCAGCACCTCAACTTTTTTCCTTCTCTTTCTGCTTTCCTGTGCCTTTCCCCGGGACTTAACTTTCACAAAAACCACTTCAGTTATATTGTTGCAGGCGTCGTTTTTCTTTTGTGCCCCCTAGTTGCCCAAAACCTCCTGTTTCTTTTTTTGTTTTGTTTTGTTTTTTAAATCACTGTCAGCAGAATGAGCTTTCAGTTTGCTAAAATATTTCCACAATGTCCCAGAGATTACAGGCTGCTCTCCAGCTTTTTTTTCCCCTTTAATTGCAGTTTGACAAACAGCAGAAACTACAAAATATGCAGTGTCCTGGCTGATGGGATCTTTTCTTTTAGGGCAGTTGTCCTTATGATTGACGCATATTTCCCAACAGGTATTTTTATGATGATGTGCCAAATCAGTCCTATAAAAGGGTGTCCTGTTCACTAACTATATTTCCAGATCATCATGCTGAGAGACTGTTTTTGAAGCATTTGATCCTGTGTTATACAGTTGACTAATATAATGTAAACCTCTTACAGTTGAGGTTGTGGTTGCACAACCTTTATATACAAACTAGCTCTGTGCATCATAGGTGTGCAACTGTACTTATGTAAACTGCACTCAGCCCAGCCTGGAGTCAACAGGTCAGTGGTTTTCAAAGGCCGCCATCATGGCAGCGGAAAACTGCTAATTCTTGAACTCCTGCAAAAAAAAATAAATCAGTCTTGCAGCTCCGGGGCTGAAATGGACCAAACACTTCACCAGTAAAGTCTAAGGTTAGCCACAC